CACTATGGCACTGCATTCACTAATATACTGCACTTTACACTCTCTCTTACTTTCCCTCGTTGTCTCTGCATTTGGGCAGGTGCACGCCATCGCCTTGACTCGTCGCACGCCTGGTCTGGAATTCTGCAATCCGTCTATCGACTCTCCGGCTCTGACAGTTTCTGGTTGACAAAAGTTGATCTAAACAGAGACAAAAAGGAAATGGCTAGCATCATTTCATGTGATCACAGACTTCATACATTAATGTAGCGTATATTTCTATATTCACCACTGACAACGTTGAACTTCGTACCGGATATTCAGGCGTGATTCTAGGCCGGTTTTGCACGCGTTTACCAGGAACCGGTCACAGGGCCTGGGGTTCTTCGAGAATTGGACCTCAAAATTCACCAGAGTGCCATTCAAATATAGCCTAATTTTTTATTAAATTCCCGGGGGGCATGCCCCCCGCGAACCCCCTAGCTGTGGACTAGAACTAACTGGAAACTGTTCACCAATACCCTCTGGATCCGCCCCTGGATATTTTCTATATTTCAACCACTGTGCATGGATAAATTTACTTTCTGTGCAACTATTGTATGAACACTCAAAACTATTAACACGAATTAGCCCGTAGAGATACCACTGCACACCACAAGTTCAATCTGTGATTTATAAAAGAAAAAGAACAAACATTAACACAAATTGAGTCATAAACGTTTACATGCTATGTATAGTATGTTTATATGTTATACTATTATATTATTAGGCTAGCTATTCTATTGACTATGTTTACTATGTATCCTAATCATATAGTCCGATTTCCTCTGACCAATGCCCACACCGTATGATTTTGTGAATTGGGGTGGGTTAGGTTCAAGCAACTTGCCCCGAAATTTTGCCCACCTCCCTAGGAATTTGCTCAGCCTACGCCCTGCAATGTTGTAAGTTTTACACTCGTAAATAACTATTACGTATTGTTTGAAGATAAGAATTGTTTGTGCAAGGTTTAAAGATCTATTAGCTATTTGCTATTACAAGTTTACACTGACTTTATATGTGATTTAATAATAATTATTCAGACAGTTATTAGAGGTAAACTGACATATGTCATTAGATTAGTTAGTCTGAGTTTTCTATGACCAATGCCCACACTGACGATTTTGGTGGATTTGGTGTGGGTTAGGTCAGAGCAACTTGCCCATACAAAACGTGGAATTTCTCCGATCCCGCCGAGGATCGCTGTTTTAACGCTCCAAGCTGGATAACTTATGTGCTTGCATGCTCGCATTGGTAAGTACACTTGTGCTCTTTTACCTTAGTCGTATTTCGATTTGACAATTTGTTGCTAATAATTTCCCTCCGACATCGCCCATCCATCGTCCAATGTGTGACATCAGGTAAACGTACGCGCAAGTCTCTGAATCGTGACGTAGCGACCGGCTCGAACTGTCGAACACAGCAGGGGGTAGCTGCCCCCCTTGCCCCCCCCAGGCTACAGCTCTGCATTGGGCTTTTCAAAAGTTCTACATATCGACGGAATTACCAGTGGTTCACACACGAGGGAACCGAACTTTTCAGCGTCAAATTAGCGCCATCTGACGGACGAATTATAATTATTTTAAGCCTCACTAACACGTAACTACAGTTTACATTAAACTAACTCCCCTAATAGTTAGCCACATTAAATGCCATATTTCTGGTTTACAAATCACTGCTAAAGATCAGTCGTTACGATGTTCCTGTAATGTCACGTCTTGTGGTAATAAAAATGTTTCTACACCAATACTACCATCACCACCACTATATATCAGTACCACTGCGACTGTTACTGGTACTACTATTACTACCACTGCCAGCTAGTGCTGCTGCTGCCACTACCAGTACAACTACTGCTACTACTGCAATCACTACCAGTGCTACTACTACTGCTACTACTGCTACTACTACTACTGCTACTACTACTACTATCACCACCACCAGTAATACT